AAGTGATTGTCAAGAATAAGTATCCACTTCTGAGGATTGATGATCTGATGGATCAGTTGATTGGTGCGAGCGTCTTTAGTAAGATAGATCTGAGATCTGGGTATCATCAGATTCATGCGAAGGATGAGGATATTCAGAAGACTGCTTTTAGAACGAGGTATGGACATTATGAGTATTCTGTGATTCCATTTGGTGTGACTAATGCACCAGGTGTATTTATGGAGTACATGAATAGGATTTTCCATTCTTATTTGGACAAGTTTGTGGTTGTGTTCATTGATGATATTTTGATTTATTCGAAGAGTGAAGAAGAACATGTTGAGCACCTGAGGATTGTGTTATCTGTGTTGAAAGAGAAGCAATTGTATGCTAAACTTTCTAAGTGTGAATTTTGGTTGAAGGAAGTGAGTTTCCTTAGTCATGTGATTTCGAGTAGAGGTATTGCAGTTGATCCGTTGAAGGTTGAAGCGGTATCGCAATGGGAGACTCTGAAATCGGTTTTTGAGATTAAAAGTTTTCTTGGTTTGGCAGGTTATTATCGAAAATTTGTTGAAGGATTTTCTAAGTTATCGTTACCGTTAACGCGGTTGACTAGGAAGGGTCAAGCTTTTGTTTGGTATGCAAAGTGTGAAGAAAGTTTTCAAGAGCTTAAGAGGAGATTGACGACAGCTCCTGTTTTGATTTTGCCGAATCCGATAGAACTGTTTATTGTGTATTGTGATGCTTCTTTGATGGGTTTAGGAGGTGTGTTGATGCAAAATAAACAAGTTGTAGCTTATGCTTCAAGGCAACTTAAAGTGCATGAGATGAATTATCCGATGCGTGACTTAGAGTTGGTCGCCGTTGTATTTGTGTTGAAACTTTGGAGGCATTATTTGTTTGGTACGGGATTTGAAGTGTATAGTGATCATAAGAGTTTGAAGTATCTCTTTGATAAGAAAGAATTGAATGCAAGGCAGAGGAGATGGTTAGAACTTCTGAAGGATTATGATTTTGGTTTGAATTACCATCCGGGTAAAGCAAATGTGGTAGCTGATGCATTGAGTAGGAAATCTTTGCATATGTCGATGATGATGGTAAAAGAGTTGGAAATGATTAAGCAATTTCGTGATTTGAGCTTAGTGTGTGAGAAAACTTCTTACGGCGTTAAGCTTGGTATGTTAAAGCTTACTAGTGGTATTCTTGACGAGATTCGAAAAGGGCAGAAATCTGATTTGGGTTTAGTTGATCGGTTGACTTTGTTCAATCAAGGTCAAGGTGGTGATTTTCGGATTGATGAAAATGGTATCATGAGATGTCGTGATAGAGTTTGTGTTCCTGATATTGTTAAGCTGAAGAATAGTATTCTTGAAGAAGGGCATCATAGTGGATTGTGTATTCATCCGGGTGCTACTAAGATGTATCAAGGTTTGAGGAAAGTATTTTGGTGGCCTCGTATGAAGAAGGATATTGCCGAGTTTGTATATTCTTGTTTGACTTGTCAGAAGTCAATGATTGAGCATCAGAAACAGTCGGGCTTTATGCAACCGTTGTCTATTCCCGAATGGAAATGGGATAGAATATCTATGGATTTCGTGTCTGGTTTACCTAGGACACCGAGTAACTTTGAAGCTATTTGGATTATTATGGATAGATTGACCAAATCTGCTCACTTTATTCCTGTGCGAATGGATTACCCGTTGGAGAGATTAGCAAAGCTGTACATTGAAAGGATTGTCAGTTTGCATGGTATTCCGTCTAGCATTGTGTCAGATAGAGATCTGAGGTTTACTTCGAGATTTTGGGAGAGTTTGTAAAATGCTTTGGGTACGAAGTTTCGTTTGAGTTCTGCTTATCATCCGCAGACTGATGGTTAGACTGAGAGGACGATTCAATCACTTGAGGATCTTTTGAGAGCTTGCGTGTTGGAGAAGGGAAGAGCTTAGGATATCTATTTACCTTTGATTGAATTTACTTATAACAAAAGTTTTCATTCGAGTATTGGTATGGCACCGTTTGAGGCATTGTATGGTCGACAGTGTAGGATGCCATTGTGTTGGTATGAGTCAGGAGAGAGTGTTGTGGTTGGACCCGAGATAGTCCAACAGACCACTGATAAGGTTAAGATGATTCAAGAGAAGATGAAGATTTATCAGAGTCGTCAGAAGAGTTATCATGATAAACAAAGGAAAGCACTGGAGTTTCAAGAAGGAGATCACGTGTTTCTTCGAGTTACTCCCGTGACTGGTGTGGGTAGGGCATTGAAGTCGCGTAAGTTGACACCGCATTTCATTGGTCCTTATCAGATTTTACAGAGGATAGGAGAGGTAGCCTATCGAATTACATTACCACCATCGCTTGCTAATCTTCATGACGTTTTCCATGTGTCTCAATTGAGGAAATACATTGTGGATCCGTCTCATGTAGTACAAGTAGATGATGTACAGGTGAGGGACAACCTAACTGTGGAGACATCACCTATGCGAATTGAGGATCAGGAGTTAAAGCAGCTTCGAGGTAAAGAGATTGCTTTGGTGAAGGTTGTTTGGGGAGGACCGATTGGTGGAAATGTGACTTGGGAGCTTGAGAGTCAGATGAGGGAGTCTTATCCCGAGTTATTCGTTTAAGGTAATTTTCGAGGGCGAAAATCTTTTAAGTGGGGGAGGGTTGTAACCCCCCAATTTTTAATAATTAATTATTTATATTAGTTAATTTATTTATTGGAATTATTTTAATACTTTGAATTATTGGATCAATTATTTATTTTATTGGTGAGATGATTGATTTCTAGAATTAGTGAGTTAAGGTAGTGTGTGAATAGTAAGTGAATTGGGTTAGGCCCAATAACTTATAGTTAAGGTTTTAGAGGGGAGAAGTTAGTAAGAGGAGAAAGAAGAAGAAAGAAAGGGGATAGAAAACATAGAAGAGTAGAAGAGGAGAAGAAAAAGAGCAAGAGGAAAAGAAGAGTGGAAGAGAGAGAAATTCAGAGTTCAAGCATTCAAAGAATCAAGAATTCTTCCCAAAGAAAAACCTAAGGTAAGGGTGGGCATTCTCTCATTATTGGGATTATGGGATAATGATTAATGGGTAGAAGATGTTTAGGGAAAACCCTAATTTGGAATTGTGTTTTAATGGTTAATGAGTAGGAGTTTATGTAAGAAAAACCCATATATCTCTCATGATTTGAGTGAATTTTTTATTGTTAAGAATGCCCTAACATGGAGGGATTGATTATGGTAGCAAAGAGGGGAATAGTTGGTGAAAATACACTTTTCTGCACAATTTTTCGAAAACACACAGTGAGCAATCAATTGCACTAAGATGTCAATCGATTGCACACTGAGAAAAACTGTTGGAAGCTGAATTTTTAGCTGAGCAATCGATTGCACCTAGATGTCAATCGATTGCACAACAAACCAGTAGTTAAAATACTGAAATTTTCAAAGAAGCAATCGATTGTACCAAGATGCCAATCGATTGCACCATAAAACAGTAGCTAAAGTAATGAAATTTTCAAAGGACCAATCGATTGCACCCTAACTCCAATCGATTGCACTAGCTGAAACGTAGAAAAATCATGTTTTTAGAGGGTTGATTACATAGAGTCTTTGGTTAATTAAACCTTAACAAAACATGGATTAATTGAGATGATTTATTGATTATTTACTTGAGTATTGATTGATTATAAACCTTCGGTTGGCTATTGAGATATCAATTGTTGTTTAACAAGTTGATTTTGTATTGAGTATTGAATTCAATGATTTGTAATGGATTGATTGTCCTATGTGTAATCGTTGAATTGTGATTGAATCTAATTGATTCTTGTGCATTACTTGATAAATGCAATGATGATATTGAAAGTATGAATACTTTGATGTTTATAAAATGTGTTGTGTGTGTGCAATCATGATATAATTCTTGTGTGATGAATTATTTGAGAATGCATGGGATTAAGATGTGATAACGGTCTTAAGTGTGTTTGGTTGTTGATTGCATACGCATCATTTGTTGTCAAGAGGCAATTCTTGCTAGTTTCGTGGAGACTAGTGACTTGTCCCAAACCTAGAAGGGTGGGTTTGAAAGCCTAGAGGACGGGCTTTTGTTTGTTATTGGTCTAGAGGACGGACCCGGTTTAAATGTAAAAACCGAAAAATAATAACAAGTGTTGGTACCACATGACATGAGTTGCATTTGAGTTGCATCGAGTCACATGGCATATATGTCATTGTTATATGAAAGTATGCATATGTGTATGACTTGTTGAATTGGGAGTTGTGAATATATGATTGTTATATGAAAGTATGCCTATGTGTATGACTTGTTCAATTGGGAGTTGTGAATATATCATTGTTATATGAAAGTATGCCTATGTGTATGACTTGCTGAATTGGGAGTTGTGAATATATGATTGTTATATGAAAGTATGTACATGTGTATGACTTATTAAATTTGAGATTTGTGAATGTACGATTGTTGAATGATATTGGTTGATGAAAAATTGAAGTGTGAGAATATTGGTGTTTGTCCTGACATGCTTTACATTATTTATTATCTTATGATTTCAATATTGATGTGAATTCTCACCCTTCTGCTGGAATGATGTCCTATCTGACATCGTGCAGGTATGAAGAGTAGAGCTGCTCGCAGTTGCGTGGTCGTTGTTGGTGTATCTATTTAGTATTTTAGTTATGTTGGATCGAGTCATGCTCTGGTCATGTAACACTGGGATCGATTGGTTTATGTTTTAGAGATACTTTATGTACTCTACAATATATTTTTATATTCATTGGAATATTATGATGTTGGCCTTAGTGCCTAAGTAATGTTGAATTATGTGATGAATACGAATGTTTTCGTTAAGAGAATTATGATATAAATTGAATCCGCTGCTACACGCGAAGTAAAATTTTGAAAAGCATGATTATTTATAAAAGTGTTAATGAGCATGACAGGTGTTTTTGATGTTTTAAAAATTATGTGTGACACCCTTGTGTGAATGCATGATGATTTACTCTGATTATTTATATATATTCCGTGGGGTTTAGAAGGGTGTTACAATTCTCACTGTCATACTCAGTAGGCATTTTATCACTATCATATTCCTCTATGTCACATAAACCTCTCAAATTGTCCAGATTTACCTCACCATCATTATCTTCACCTACATCCCTAATAATGACCTTTTCCTTTCCTTTCCCCTTCCTTTTACCATTCCCTTTCCCTTTCCCCTTACATTCCCCCTTACCTTTCCCCTTCACTTCATCCTCATCAATTGATATCTCTCCATCAATACCTATGTCATTGTCTGAGTCTTCAAAATTAACATTCAAAGCACTGTCATCACTTCCATCTTCTTGGTTACAGTTAACTACCTCATCTTGTTCTTGGTTACAGTTCAGTCCTTCATTGATTTCATCCCCTCCAACATTCATCCCTACATCCACATTCTCCTCCATTTCACAGGTGGTCCCCACATCATCCATATTGTTACAGTTTGTCTCCTCTTGACCAACCTTCATCTCAGTTTCAAAGTTGGTCCCCACATCACCCACATTTTCCTCAATTCCAACATTATCTTCAATCCCAAAATTCTCCTTAACTTCATCAACTCTTGTCCCCTCTTCCACCACATCTTCTCCCAGTGTGGTCCCACATTCATTACTTCCCCCTTCATATACTTCACCAACCACATCCTTAGCTACTGTGGTCTCATCCTGATTATTAACCATAGCAGGCCCTTCACCACACATATATTCACCCAATATGCTCACATGTGATAGTGAGAGTATGGGCTTCTCAATAACATCAGGTTCAGATACATGATGTGTAACATACAAGTGGCATTCCCCAGTTAACACTACAATGGTTCTCATCCTATCAGTCCCCTTATCATTTTCTAACTGAACTATATCATTATCAATCATATCATCATAATACCACAACCTATCTATAGTAGGGTAACCTAACTCTCTTAACTTGTCCAATATTTCAAAGCAACTCCAATAATCAGGATCAACATTCCATATCTCCTCTAACCCTACAAAACCTGACTTTGTAAAATTTACAAACTCTCTAGAAAACTCACCAGAATGATGAACAACACACTTAAACCTAATCTCCATGACCTAATCAACCTACATATAGTATCAGAAGTACTAAGCAAGTTAGGTATAGAAGAAATTTAATATTTTTTAAATCGTATTTGTGCAAGTTCGTACCTTAGGGTTTTATGTCCAGACGAGTGAAATAATGAAGTTCTTCTTCTTCGTTCTTCTGCAATGAACTCCGTCTTCAAAGAAGCGTTGTTGTTGTACCTTAGGATTTTCTTGTTGTCGTAAACGTCACTATCTGAACCTTGTCTTCAAACAAGTGTTGTCGTAAACGTTGTCTTCAAACTAGTGTTCTTCTTCACAATGTAGTTGTTGTCTGAACCTGAGCTTTCATCCAACAATGTCTACATGCCCTAACACGCTTCATCTCTTTAAAATGAATGTTATGTATAATACAAAATCCACCTCATCCATTAAAGTAATTATAGAATATTCACCTAAGTCATTTAAACTACTATACGTAACGGAGTATAAGTTAGTGGACCATAATGTAACGTTTTTTTCTTAAGGGACCAAAGCGAAACAAACACTAGAGTTAAGAGACTAAAAAAATGTATTAAGTCTTATTTTATAGTCCCAAAAATTATATTTTAATTAATGAAATGTAATTACATAATAATTAATAATCACATTTCAATAAAACCGTTCAATGAAATATTTACGTTATATTTTTAACTTTTTTTTTTAATTCTATTTTTTTTATTTTAATTTCCAACCACGTTTATTTTTCTTCTTCTAAATATATCTAAATTATTATAATTATTTATTGTAATAATTAATATTTGTTTGTTTTTAAAATTTTAATTATAATAATTAAATTGATATTAAATTTGAATTAAATAAATAAAAAATCTATATATCTGGGTCGAGTCAGGGTTATTTATAATCAACTATAATTAAAAATGGGTTATTTATAATCAACTACAATTAAAAATGGGTTATTTATAATCAACTACAATTAAAAATAAAAACTTATGTCTGCGAACATTCATTAAATCCTACGTGACAATTTGATCCAAAAAAAATAATTAATTTTATTTATTTCGGCTTGTTATTCACTCCCAATAAAGATGTCAATAAAGATGCTCTTAAAAGGTTTGATATAGATTTTGATCGATTTTCCTCTAAGCCGTCATGACAAAATTAAGATGACGACCCTAATATTCAAATACATTAAATTTCTCTTTAATATGTGATCACTGTTATTAATTACACACTTTTTAAAGATGTTCTTCATTTACAAAAAATCCATTCAAATTATAAATAATAAAAATAAAATACAAGTATATTTTATAAGTGCCCTTAGAACTTTGTTTAAGCAAACAATTATAGATATATTGTATTCATTTTTTATGTTTCAAAATTGTATCAGTTTCATATATACTCCATAACTTTTATTGTGGACTTTTTCTAGTATGGCCACATTTGGAAACACAACATCTAGAAAAAAAAAAATTGAAAGCTAAATAAAGCAAGAAGCACATATCTTAAAAAAGAATGCCGTGTTTGGGAACACAATCTAGAAAAAGGCAGTGTAGGCAGTGAAAAGCATAATTCATTACTAAAAAAGAGGACAAAAAATTAATTGTACAACTACAATTAGGTGAAACACTCGAGTCTCCAAAAAGGAGAACATATATACTCCTTAAGTATATAATCTTTCTGAAGAAGGAAAAAAGTAAAAAAGAAAACAAAGTGCACCTAAAATCCAACTAAGCCCAAAATTAACCACGGATGGGCAGCCCCTATAAGTTTCAATCATTTCAATTGTCTCTCTTTGGCCTCCGACGTGGAGCGGAGGGGTTGGCTGTTTCTTCCTTTTCTTTGTTATCTTCATTCTCTTCGCCAGCTTGTTTACTGGAAGTTTCTGTGTTGGTCTTCTTCTCCACATTAGCCTCCACATTAGCCTGCAGAAGATGAGGTTTGGTTATGAGCATGAAAGTTAATGAAAAATACCACTAGAAATTCATGAGCCTGAAGAAAATGAGCATGACAAAAGTTTCTGTACTTACAGGTTTCTTTCCACCGAATATGAGCCTGAAGAAGATTGACACAAACACAATCACAACAGATACAATAATTCCAATAGTCAGATTTGGTTGCTTCTCCCCCTTTTCAATAATTTCCTGCAGATAAGCATAAAGTATAGGTCATAATCCAGTTAGTGAAACATAATGATTTCATTGATTTCAACTTAGGGGTGTTAAAAAATATGATTAAGTGAATTGTATACTTAAATTGAATTACACTGTAAAAAAATTGAACCACTTAAATGGTTAATAAATTGAACCATTTAATTAAAATAGTTAAAATTCAGTTTAAAATTGGTTCATAACCAATTTTCTTTTATAAATTGATTTAATTATATATATTAATTAGTTTTTTTTTCAGAAATATGAAAAAGTCGATTTTTTTTAAAATATAAAAAATTTGAGTTTTTTTTTAAATATGAAAAAGTCGAGTTTTTTCGAAAATATGAAAAAGTTGAGTTTTTTTGGAAATATGAAAAAGTCGAGTTTTTTCGGAAATATGAAAAAGTAGAGTTTTTTCAGAAATATGAAAAACTTGAGTTTTTCCGGAAATATGAAAAATTCGAGTTTTTTCCGGAAACATGAAAAAGTCAAGCTTTTTCAGAAATATGAAAAAGTCGAGATTTTTCAGAAATATAAAAAAGTCGAGTTTTTTTTTCAGAAATATGAAAAAGTCGAGTTTTTTTTCCAGAAATATGAAAAAGTCGAGTTTTTTTTGAAATATAAAAAAGTCAAGTTTTTTCGGAAATATGAAAAAGTCGAGTTTTTTTTTCAGAAATATAAAAAGTCGAGTTTTTTTTCCAGAAATATGAAAAAGTCGAGTTTTTTTTGAAATATGAAAAGTCAAGGTTTTTCATAAATATGAAAAAGTCAAGTTTTTCCGGAAATATGAAAAAGTCGAGTTTTTTTTTCAGAAAAATGAAAAAGTAGAGTTTTTTTTCCAGAAATATGAAAAGTCGAGTTTCTTTTCAGAAATATGAAAAAGTCGAGTTCTTTCACAAATATGAAAAAGTTGAGTTTTCTGGAAATATGAAAAAGTCGGGTTTTTCAGAAATATGAAAAAGTCTAGTTTTTTAATAAATATGAAAATGTCGAGTTTTTTTCAAAAATATGAAAAAGTCAATTTTTTTCGGAAATATGAAAAAGTCGAGTTTTTTCGGAAATATGAAATAGTCGAGTTTTTTGAAAATATGAAAAAGTCAAGTTTTTTTCAAAAATATGAAAAAATCGAGTTTTTATGGAAATATGAAATTGTCGAGTTTTTTCATAAATATGAAAAAATCCAGTTTTTTCGAAAATATGAAAAAGTCGAGTTTTTTAGAAAATATGAAAAAGTAGAGTTTTTTCGGAAATATGAAAAAATCGAGTTTTTCCAGAAATATGAAAAAGTTGAGTTTTTTCGAAAATATAAAAAAGTCGAGTTTTTTCGAAAATATGATAAGGTTGAGTTTTTTTTTCGGAAATACGAAAAAAAGACGAGTTTTTTTTCAGAAATATGAAAAAGTCGAGTTTTTTCGTAAATATAAAAAAGTTGAGTTTTTTCGACAATTTGAAATAGTTGAGTTTTCCGAAAATATAAAAAAGTCGAGTTTTTTCATAAATATGTTTCGGAAATATGAACCAAACCATAAATGTGATTCGGTTCAATGCAGTTCATGAACCACGAACACCCTATTTCAACCAAGATAGAACGTCGAAAACATTGTCACCGTAGACTGGCGGCTGCGATGAATATCCTGATCTAGAGGCAAAATTACAGGCATATCTCAAAAACATATAGTCCAAATCGAACGGTGTTTGACAATGGCGAATATATAGTTGAAACAGATGGCGTCGTGTTGTTGCGAGGGGCGAAAAATCCAAATAGAGAATTAGATAAACATTTGGTGTGAATCTGAAAACAAAAGTTATGGGGATTGAAAAGAAAAAAATGAGATGCAGCGTCGTGTTGAAAGGGTAGACAAAAACATGTTTTCTATTAATTTTTAATTAAAAATAAAATTTTAAACTTTAAATCTAAGCCATTAAAAATATGAATGGCCACGTGTCAAAGATCTATGACATGAATCAGAGAACTGGACTCTTCAAGAAATGGAGCCGATAATGTCCCCTTTCCCCATATCCGCACAACATATATTCATATGTTTTTACTTTTATTATTATATATACATATTAATTTATCAAATTTATTAGATGCATCACTATTATACTTGTACACATTTTAATATAAATTTTTATTTATTTCTTAATTCATCTATATCATCTTTGAATTTTTTTGATATTATTAAAAAATTTAAATGACATGATAAATTATAAACGATATACTATTTTTTATTAAAAATGCGGATAAATAAATATAAATATGGGTACCCATAAGATACAAGTACAAACAATATACCCATGCAAATATATTATTTTTTTAAACCACATATATGAGGACAAATTCCAAACTCTGTCCATAGTCATCTCTAAATCTTACACGAGCCTACAAACTAATTAGAGATGTTAAGTATAATAAGTGTGAGTAGTGTGAATAATAGTCTCATATTGGATAGGAGTGTGGTAACTTGAGCATTTATAAGTGGAAGAACGCACACACCTGTCAGCTTAAGATTTTGGGTGAGTATGTGGTGTGTCTCTCATGAAAGTCTTGCTCTAGAAAGAAGAAGTTCTACAATATTCAATACTCCCTAGTGAAAATCTCCCCCCAACAAGAGCAAACATGTTCCAAGACAAAATCATGTGAAAAAGCTGAAGCTCCAAATTGAAGTGTTAGAATAACGTACGTTTAGACAACTTAAAACGTAAAAGTAAAAGAAAACATGCACTAGAGATTTTTTATTATTGATGTTATATATAGTTCGCCAGCTTTGTACAAAGCTTACGTGGCATTAACTATATTTCATCGTTTACTATACAATCATCGACAACTAATTATTTTATGGCATAATTAGTCACTGGGTCCCTTAATTGACATTACAA